GAAATGAATTATATACAGAAATTAATGCAAATCAGGGGGGCCCATGAGCTATTCATTTCTTTCTATCTCTCTCCTCTCTTATAGAGTGACACTCAATTATGTGAGTCTGATCCTAGTCGCAGTTATAATTTAGAATATTATAGAAATAAGCAATTGGAAAAAAAAAACAAAAGAAAAGAAAAGAGTGTTCCCTCACTTTGAATCTTTGACAAGTAAAATTACCAATATACCCCTCAGACTTCTAATATTATGGGAAATGCCCTTCAAACATTTTGGTTCCCCTACTAGGATATTAATCTAGTGGTGTAGGTATCTACCATCTCAAATGGGGGTAACCGGGTAATGTTCCCTTTAAAAAAGTATGATGCTCTCCTGCTTTATAATACACACTTTAATTCCGCCAAAAAAAGAAATCTCCCCGCTGCCGTCTTCGCTCGCTTAGACAGGACTTCCCCTCCTCCCCAAATTTCCAGCCCCACAAATCTCAGAAATGGACGACAAAGCAGATGAATCAACTTTAACAGTTGGTCCGGCAACCCCGACACTTGGGACCGCTGTGCTCCAATACCTTAAGAGCTTAAACTGTGTATACTCCAGCAAACGTACGAGTATAAACTGTGTTAATGGCGATCCGTAAACCCTAGGGTCAGCGCCGGTCAACGCGTAACCCTAGGTCAACGCCAGTCAACGCGTTGCAACCGAAGTCAACGTTCGACGATTCGAAACCCTAGGGTGGACGCCGGTCAACGCGTAACCCTAGGTCAACGCCGGTCAACGCGTTGCGATAAAAAGCCAACACACGGGGATCCGAAACCCTAAGCCAGCACAATGTGGCGGAGGTAGTTCAAAGTCAACTCAATGACACGAGCCAAACTCAATTCATCAGCTGCAGACTCGAGACTCCGACGACGGCCAGACGATAAACGCAGCGCCGGAAGAACCTCGGCTATTCGTCAAAGCATCGGATAGATCGAAAATCGAAAGAGTCAAGAGTTGAAGCTAACTACGCCGACTGAAGGCCAGATCAATCACATCCAAAGTATTCCAGCCTCTTCTATAAAAGAAACGAGTCAGGAACACTTTGGAGGGGGTATCTGTAGGCATCAAAAATTGCCTATAGTTCTCCACAACCGGTTCAGTGTTAACGAACGACGATGAACGTCACCATCCGATCCACATGAGCCTAATCGACGTCGACGAACGACTGAAGTGAATCGACGAGTTACATGAGCGGATAGGACTTCGGAATCACGAAGACCCGGACCAATCGGGAAACCCGGCACTGTTCACAAAAAGGACAACGCCCTCCATGCCTCGACCACTCTACAGATAATCCAATCACCAGAGCAGGTCAAACTCTTCGTCGCGCATCCAACGCACCCGGAATCACTCAAATCCGAATCCGGACGACGAATCAACCGCGAGTCAACGGCGGAACACCCAAACAGGTCTTGGCCAATAGCCGAGACACCCCCTAAGGAGTGTCTCGGCCACAACCGAGACACCCCAAGGGGGGTGTCTCGGCATTGGCCGAGACACCCCATGGGGGGTGTCTCGGCCATGGCCGAGACACCCCAAGGGGTGTCTCGGTTTTGGAGCCGAGACACCCCCCTAGGGGTGTCCTCAACCAACCCCTACCCCTTGCTTTTCCTATAAATAGGCCCCTAGGGCCTCATTTCTCTTGGCCTTGGTTTTGGGAGAGGAATTTCAGATCTAGAGCTCTAGCCTTTGAGATCTGAAATTCCAGAGAGGAGCGGCGAAGCCCTGCCGGAGGAAGGAGTCGGGGTTTTCTAAGAGAGCGGCGAAGCCCTGCCGGATCGAGGAGTGAGACCCCCCCTCTTGGTTTCCTATAAATAGGCCCCTTAGGCCTTCATTTCAAGGGGCTGGATTTTTGGTCTTGGAGCAAGGCTAGAGAGAGAGGAGAGGAGTTTTGGAAGAGAGCGGCGAAGCCCTGCCGGATCGAGGAGTGAGCGAGCCTTCTGCAGCAAAGGAGCCTCCTTCTTCATTCCCCTTTCTATTTTCCTTAGTGTTCCCCCTTAGCGGTGGTACTAAGTAGAGCGAATATCTCGATTATCCGAGATAGGAGCTGTAAACTTCTAGATCTCACACAGATCGATTCTAAATCCCCTCGTGGATAGACGAAGCTCTGCCCGATTTTCTCGGAGCGGATCTGATTGCCCGGTGGTCCACGGATATCAACGTCCCCGTCACAGGCAAAAGACCCACGCAAGCAAGAGATGATAAACAGATCTTGCGTTTGTTTGAAAAGAGTTGTATCTATTTTGTTTTCATTGTGTACCAGTCTTATAAAAAGGCTATCTTTTTATTTCATTGTAACGATCGAAGTTGTAATGAATGCAGCAATGAATACAGCAACTTTTTCCGCAAACATAGGGTAAGCCAATTGAAGACGGCCATACTCCAAAGAGTACAAGAGTATAAACTGTTTCTCGAAACTCCGACGAGTATACGAGTATAAACTGC